AAAAAACATCTACACTGTTCCCGAAACTGTCAAAACGACTTGTCTTTCCATTCTGCTCAGAATCTCAGACTCAGAGAGCAGAGAAAATTGCAAGTGGACCTGAAACAGACTTTATAATGTTTTATGGCTAACTGCTCAGTGAGTCCAGGTGCAGGCTGGAAAAATGAGCACCTCACCTGCACATCCCCATTGCATGTAACCGAGGCCAGATGGCCATAAACCTTTCCTGCAGAAGGCGTTTGGTTTATTCATTGTGAGCAGCTGCTGAGATCGTCAGCTGAAACAAGTATGTAAGTTTATGTTATTGGGATGTTTCACGGCTTTGGTGACTACAAATGTCACCCTTAGATAAGAGGAAACTGGTTAGGATGTCTGTCTTTTGTTAATTTACATTTACGAGTTAAAATTTGCTCCCATAAAAGTTAAACAGACATTTTAAAATCACCATTGTTGTCTTTACAAATGCAGGTCCTAGGGGTCCACCTGGGGATCAAGGACCAGGTGCAAAGGGAGAGAAAGGTGACCCTGGCAGTGCAGGTAAGGTTTTTGGTTTAAGTCATTGCAGCCGTGTTGAGGATTCACTCAAACTCAAACTGAAGCAGATTGATTATACACTAGGACGACCAATCATCCTCTTTCTCTGCACTTGTTGACTTGTAACAGACTGTATGACATTTTTTATTTCACCATTCATTAACTGCACAGAGACGGCATCGTTTAAATATGTCAAAGTTTTCTTTAAGCAAAAAGTTTTATTACAGTTCTTCATGGCTGGGCCAAGTGTCCTCTCTTTTGGAGATCAAACTATGGTCACCCTGTTGGAGGGAGATATTTGGTTTCACTAAGCTTAAAATTAAGCAGTACAACAGTCATCTAAGGTTTTCTGTTATTTAAAAGCTTTGTATAAACAATCATAAAGACGGGGTTAATGTTTCTCACCTTATATCCCCTAAAAATTAAAATGAAAAGTATTACAAACAGCTGTGGCAGAGAAGTCGATCTGGTTAGATGGTGTCCTGGGGGATATGCTTCCTAGATATTCCAGTCCTGGGTGACCGACTGCACCAGCGTAGGGGCTGACAATGGATCCCTGGTTTTCATCCCAATCACTAATGGCAGTTATGGTGCCACCGCCTAGGCCGGGATTGTCGAACTCATTTTACATTGCAGGCCACGTACGACCCATCTAAGCGGTCGGTGAATCTCCCCTTTCTGTCAGTGTAAAGAAGTAAAGAAAAAAAACCCAAAATAAATATTTATATTAGAAAGTGAAAATCAGAAACCTTGTTTTTCACAAAGTTACAGAGGTTTTATTAGAAACATAGCTACGTGTTTAGCAATTTGGCATAATTCACTACCAATAAAAGGTTACATTTTTTTGTCGTGAATAGCAGGAATTAGGCTTTCTTGTCAGAAGTCATTTTAGGAAAACAGAAAAACAGCAGTACACTGTACACAACTGGTGCGTAATAAACAAGTAAATAAGGCAGATAATCGAGATTTTTGCAAACAGAGATGGAGCTGATTTGGTGAATTTGACTCGCAGAGTGATCAATCCTGCAGTTTTGCAAGATGTCTGTTATGACTTTAAATGCCTTCATGCACCTCCCTTTGTTAATCCGTTCAATACTTTCTCCCTGTGTCAATTCTCATTATTACACATAATTTATGGACACATATGGTTTGATTTCTCTGCATGTATGGATACGATGGGCTGTTACTGTTGTTACTGATTCTCTGGTGAGAATTTTATGTCATTACCACCTTCAGAAATATATTGTCTTGAACGTATACACAAAACTGAACGTGTACACAAATCCAGAAATAAACGGACTGAAAATGATTTAAGGCTTTTCCAGCCTAACTGAGCACTCAGAACACTGGTGGATACACTGAGGGCCATTTGGACTTCATCCCTCTTCTTTTCTTTGTAGGTCACAGCAAACCTTATTTGAAAATGGAAATACTTTGCATTTACTGTATACGTCATTGTTTTAGTCTTACTGACTAATCAAAGTATCAAAAAAATAATCACAGCGTGTCACTTGTGCTGTATTTTGACAAGTTATTCCATAATGAATTAAATTCATTTTCACCTCAAAGTTCTACACTCAATAAGACAAAGTGAAAAAAGTTTGCTTGCAATTCTTGCAAATTTATTAAAAATAAAAAACAAAAATATAACATGTGCATAAACATTCACAGCCTTTGCTGAATACATTTTCTGGTGTAACTTTGGCAGAACTGTCTCAAGTCTTTTAAGTATAATGCTTCATGCTTGGCACACTTTTTTGGGCAGTTTCTCCCAGTCTTCTTAGTAGATCCTCTCGGGCTCTACTGGGCATGATGGGAAGTGTTGGTGCACAGCTGTTATCAGATCTCTCCAGAGATATTCAGTGGGTTCAAGTCTGGGCTCTGGCTGAGTCACTCGAGGACGTTCACAGGTGGTCCTGAAGCCACTCCTTTGTTATCTTGGCCGTTGTTTTGTTGGGAGACCTTTGACTAAGTCAAGGTCCAGAGTGAACTGAAGCTGGTTTTCATCATGAATGTGTGCATCACTGCATTCATCTTTCCCTCGACCATGACTAGTGTCCCAGTTCCTGCTGCAGAAATACCATCACATGATGGTTGGTAAAGTGATCATTGGCTTCTTGGCCATTGTGTTGTCCTTGACTAAGGCCCACCAATCCTAATTACTCAGACTGGTCAGTATTCCAGCTCTGAGAAGAGTCATGGTGGTTGCAAACGTCTTTATGGATGATCGAGACCACTGTTCTCACTGGGACCTTCCGTGGTGCAGAAATTCTTCCGTACTCTTTCCCAGATCTCTGCCTCGACACAATCCTGTCTCAGAGGTCTACAGACAAGCTGTAGACCTCTGAGAATAAGTCAAGTTTTTCCTTGACTTATTCGAATAATGGTGTAATTAATCAGGATCAGGACTTCATGGCTTGGTTTGCACTCTAACCTGCACCGTCAACTGTGGGACCTTAGACTTAGACTTAGATCCTCCCGCGCCGATCGCCGTATCGGGCGACAAGAGAACGCCATCGAACTCGGTCTATCGCGGCAGTTGTTGCTTCATCCCATGACAGTTCGACTGAACGTAAATCTTCAAGGAAAGTCCTCCTCCATGTTATTTTAGGTCTTCCTCGCCGTCTCTTCCCATTCTTTGGGTTCCACAGAACCGCGACACGGGCAGGTCTCGGGTCCGGTAGCCGAAGGATGTGAGCGGCAAATCTGAACCGACGCTTGGTGACTTGGACATGGAGCGGCTCTACTCCCGCACGGCGATATACTTCTTCATTGGTAACGCGATCCTGATATGTGATCTTGAGCAGCTGTCGAAGACAACGTTGTTGGACAGACATACTTTTCCCCATCATGTCCAACCAACTAAATTTAAAACTTTCAAGTTGTAGAAACAGCTGACAAATTATCAGGGGAAACAGGATGCACCTGAGGTCAGATTTCAGCGTTAATACATATATTTTGTTATGTTTTTATTTTTAATAAATTTGTGAGAATTTCAAACTTTCAGACTTTTTTTTAACTTTGTCATTGTGGGAAACTCTGTGAAGAATGATCAGGCGGAAAATGAATTCACGCTATTTTGGAAAAAGTCTCTGACATGACAGAATGTGGAACAAGTGAAGTGCTGTGAATACCGTCTACAGTGGGACTAATGTGAAACAGCATTTGTTAAACCCATACAAATCCATATTCTTATATGTTTGTGTTTTTCTCTTTCACGACAGGTCCTACAGGGCCAAGTGGTTACAATGGAACACAAGGTAAGCACATTTAATCAACAAGCCCGTTTCCACGACTAAAAAAAGGATCCATAACTCAAAACTTCAATTTATTTTCTCGAAATTTCGACTTGTTAACTCAAAATTTCGAGTTAGCTCTGCCAATCAGTAATCTACCTGAATGACGTCATTTCCTTGTTACCCGGAAGCTGAAGCCCTCAGGTACAAATGCTACAGCTAAGCATCCAGTCATGAATGCACAGATTGCTGAGTATTTTCAGCGTGGCTTCAAAAATGATGAAATCCTTGTGTTATTAGCTGAATCACATGGCGTTACTATCAGCAAACGTACTCGCTAAAGCGCCAATTTGTTGCGATCCGGTTTTGAATGCACGTTAGTCTACGCCATATGCTTCCGGGTAACAAGAAAGTGACCCCATTCATGTTGGTTACTGATTGGCAGAGCTAACTCGAAATTTTGAGAAAAGTAACTTGAAATTTCGAGTTAATAAGTCGAAATTTAAAGAAAATAACTCAAAATTTCGAGTTATGGATACGTGTTATTATTTTTTTTGTAGTGGAAACGGGCTTCCATAAAAGATGGAGAAAATATGACTTGGAGTCTTGTTTCTCTCACACACTGGAAGCTTAGTTTTTCCTTACTTTTTCTGAGGTTACATATTCCACAAAAACAATTCAATTCAATTCAATTCAGTTTTATTTATATAGCGCCAAATCACAGCAAAAGTCGCCTCAAGGCGCTTCATAGATACAGAGAAAACCCCACCATTCTTTTGCCCCCTTTTGGGCAGCACTTTGGCGACAGTGGGAAGGAAAAACTCCCTTTTAACAGGAAGAAACCTCCTGCAGAACCAGGCTCAGGGAGGGGCGGGGCCATCTGCTGTGATTGGTTGGGGTGAGAGAAGGAAGACAGGATAAAGACATGCTGTGGAAGAGAGACAGAGGTTAATAACAGATATGATTCAATACAGAGAGGTCTGTTAATACATAGTGAGCGAGAAAGGTGACTGGAAAGGAAAAACTCAATGCATCATGGGAATCCCCGGCAGCCTACATCTATTGCAGCATAACTAAGGGAGGATTCAGGGTCACCTGGTCCAGCCCTAACTATATGCTTTAGCAAAAAGGAAAGTTTGAAGCCTAATCTTGAAAGTAGAGATAGTGCTTCTATCAGCTGCTTTTGTTAGAAAAGTTCCACTAGCCTACATCTATAAGAGATATCTCATACAGGGAAGTTTAATATGAGAGCCAGTTCAGTAAACAAAGATCTTTATGATGAATTTAACATAATGACAGATGACCAGTAAGCAGATTGGAGGCTGATTGGCTTGAAGAAGGCAGAAATATGACTGAACTAGAGATGTGATGTCAGCAATGAGCTTGAAAGTGTGGGAAAGTGGAAGTGATGAAAGCACAGATTAGGCGCCAAGCGCCCAGAAAGCAGACAGATGTTTGATTGTAGATCTTCCTTAACCTCCTAGGACCTGCGTCCACATATGTGGACATCACGTTTTGGGTTGTCTAGACCAAAATACTAAATTTTGCTGATATCCACTTACGAGGACATTATGCTGCCACTGTTCTATTGAAATTTAAAACGAATGTCCTCATATGTGGCTCTAATTTTTGTCAGAAACAAAAATCAGGTAAAAAAAAATCTGGCAATTCTTTCTTTTTACATTTATCAGGTCCCAATCAGCCCAAACATCACAGAGAAATTAAAAATGCATGCTGTGGTAGAGTTCGGGTCTCAGGAGGTTAATAAAATTATGTATAAGCTTCAGTCTGTTTGTGATAGACACATTTGGGTCCATGACTGATGTTTGTTTTCTGTCATCATGCACTTTAGCTGTTTTCTGTAGGGGACAGTGTCTAATGCAAAGATTTGTAAAACCTTTTAAGTTAAGTTGCAAGTCTGCAGTCAAATCATCGTGATATAAAATCTATTGTAGTGGTGTACAAAAGCAAAACTGGAAAAATATGTCTTTGTCTAATAAATTATGGTAATTTCATATGTCAGCTTTAATCTTTTCTCCACAGGTCTTCCTGGGCCACCAGGTACCAAAGGAGAGAAGGGAGAGATGGGAACAGAGTGTAAGTGCACGTCATGCTGAGCTGAGAGCAGCGACAGCTTCAGAAACCTCAGATGTTAAACATTAAAAAATGTATTAAAGGTATTCTAATGTCTAAAGGGACATTAACCATTTTTGACAGAGAGAAAATAAAAGAGTGTTTTGTTATTAGATTTGTACTGATGCACTGAGCATGCAGCACATAGTGATTCAACAAGTATGGCTGCTATATCACAGCAGAGATATCTTGATGCATGCTCAGTCATCCAGGTGAGTAAATCTCACAGCAGAAATATTTAATCGCCAGATCACAAGTTGGCTTTTTGTGAAGTAGTCACAGAAAATGCAGCG